AGTCACTCTCTCTCAGCCCAACCCACCTCACAGGGTTGTTGTTGTGGGGAAAATAGGAGGAACAAGGAGTAGTAGGTACTGTATGTTTGCCGTCTTGAGTTATTTTTATAGATAAAGGCGGGATAAAAAAAAAATCCTTAAAAAAAACAACCAGCTTTAAAAGACAGACAGTGGCTTGGTTCTGGTGATCCACATTAAAAATCCATACTCACATTACAATTATGCAGATTTGAGACTGAGTTTTTGCCAAAAGCTAGGCACATTCATATTAGCTGAACAACCTATATGCATGAGATGCAGTAAAAGAGCAAAATGCATTTGAAGGATGTTTCAAGTAGTAAAATAATAATTTCCTAATCTAAAACATTACAGGTGGTCCTTGTTTAATGACCACTCATTCAGTGACCAAACTTGCAACGGCACTGAACAAGTGGTAGTTACAACCGGTCCTCAAAGTTCCAGCCAGCACAGCAGCCCCGCAGTCACATGATCATGATTTGTGACCTTCACTGCCACCTTCCCACAAGCAAAGTCAAAGGGGAAGCTGGCAGGAAGTTGGAAGTCACAGTCATGTGAGGTCCTCACTTAATGACCTGTGTGAACCTTGCTAAATGACAATAAACAGGGACTGCTGGAACTGCCATAGCTAAGCAGCACAGACACATGATGTTGCACCTTACTGTCACTTAGCGATGGAAATTCTGGTCTCAGTTACTGTCGTTAACTGAGGACTACCTGTACTTACCAAGCTTGAGTCCTCAAAATAGGCATCATTTACCAATATGTAGGAACAATTCAACTTTGGGCTCTGTCCCCTCCAAATTTAACATTTTTTAAAAGGAGGTTTTTATACAGTCTACTGTTGATGCAAACATTTCTATAAAACTCTCATTCAGACTTTGAAGAAGCTTTTACAAATAACAAATCAAACTCATATTAAAAATTGCTTGGGAATTGGTGCAGCAAGTGGGCATTTTAATGTTCAAAATACAGAATAAAGAATCTTATAAATGTGTCATTCAGATGTTTTTGTCCAAAACATATGAATAAAATCTGAACAAAAGACAGAACATCCCTGATGAAGGATGCATTTTAACTCACTTGTAGCCTAATGGCATGTTCATGCTTCCTCTTCATATCATTGATATGCCATGCCACTCTCTGCATTGTATCTATGGCCTCTAAAACAACATCATAACCTTCAGTGTCCTTGTCAAGATGGTTTTCTATCTCCTGTTAAGAATCAATTGAAGAAGGCATTGTTTATGACACTTAAACATCTGAAAAGAAGATCTGACTGTTAAGTACAAATAATAATCTGATTCTTAAATAACTCTGGCTGCAGCCCATTTTTGTGGACTTTCAAGTTCAGATACCTAAAAAAAGTCATAATATCCTCAAGATTTCAACTCTAACAGTGCAGACTATATGAGAGAGATTCTTCAGCTCCACTTCCTCACTGGCAATCATTTGAAACATACATCCTTCTTCCAAGTCTTTCTTCTCCATGCTTCTCGATTCCACATACTTGTGGAAGTAGTGAGACTATAGTCTTGAGTACAAAGGGCTCAAGTAAGAAGAGATTGCTATTTTGTCACATGTAAATGTAATTTCTTAGCATTGACCCTGTTTAGAATGAACACTGGGATCTGCTGAAGGAGCTGACAGCCATGGAACTACTGCAAACATTTAATTACAACTGCTAGACAAGAAGCTTAGTTGGGAAAGTGTTATAATTACATGTTGGCTAGCCTCAAAAACAATTTGAATGCAATACCATTTCCTTTGATATCACTGATCTTAGTGAGACATGACAAGCATGCCAGCTTATGTAGGACCTGTGACTCATGAAGCTGAACACAGACCAACAGACCATTTTGTGTGTGTGATATCCTCTGTTATGCAATCCCTGGTAGGACGCATTAGGAGGTGGTTTATTTTGCCTTCAGTTGATTGCCCTTCACAGATAATGGAATGTGTTTTAATTTGTAAATCCTCTAATAATGTACAGACATGCCTCAGAGTAGCTATGCAAAAATTCACAGGCCAAGGCACCAATTAGCACTTGAGTGATGAGCCAAGGTATGCTGCGGAAAAGGGGTGGAAACCTGAACAAAAATATCATTTGCTTTTAATTTAATTAATTAAAAGCAGTTTAATATGCTTAGTCCTTATGGCTTTATTTCAACTTCTTTGTGTTAAAAGTAACAGTCTGTTAGCAACTTTTGGAGGGGTTCTGGGGACAGCATTATGGGGAAATGCCAATGGCCTTGGGGCTAGAGTTATCACTTCATCACTCAGTTGCATTACACTGACAGCTATCTGGACAGTATTTATGGACATTAGGAATGAATCAGTCATTTAATATTTGGATATAGTTTTCTTGCATTTAAATCCTGGCTACAAAACTTTAGTTTGATAATTACATTGAGAATTAGCCATGGCAGATACTGGAAACATATACACCCTCTCCAAATTTAGGGCTCTGAAATATAATTAATCTCTCAATAGGAAGCATATGATAAAAATATTAAAAAGAAAACCAGATTTGTGAAAAATGTTAAAATGGGAAACTAAAAGGGTAATCAACCTGCATGCCAAAAACAGTGTTCTCTGAATACATACTCACATGTTTTAGGGCAGAGAAATACATACTTTCAGTAGGGCAGAGAAATATATACTTTTAGCCAGTATGATACCATTTACACATGATTTTTCAACCAGAATCTCCCAAGTTACCGCAGAAAAACAGGATGAAGTATTATCTAAGCAACTGAAGTAATGATGATCTACTCACAATATTTGCTTACTTTTTTATTTCAGGAGTTCTCAGATGTTATGTGGAGCTCTTTGTATAAGGCTTAGGAGACTATGAACACACCAGTCACCCAGCGTGAGCTGAGGCTATAAACCTTATTTGCGAGTAAACGACACAGACCACACTGGGGCTTACAGAAAGTCAGGCAATGGAAGTGGGGGCGGGGGGGGGGGGTCAGTACAAATTCAGCACATTCTAGATCAGTTGTTTTTTTCTGTGATACAAAAATGACTAATTTAGAGTATAAATGTATAACTTAGCCTTTATAGGTTCAAGAGAATGTAGACAAAGGTTCATTGACAAAGCATTTCACTTACATGCAAAAGTAAGTGATATTTCAGTATTCTTTGAACAGGCTTTAAGAGATAGGATCCCAAAGGAAGAGAATGTTGTAAAGCTTCTTGTCTTTCTCTGAAAAACTTGGCTAGGGACTTGTTCCTCATACATTCGGTGAGTACAGCCACTGACCTGTAAAGTGTACAAACACAGCTTTCAGAACATTGTTAACTTATTAATTATGCAGGAAACCACAAATTCAGATGCACACGTTTGTTTCAGGCTGACATTTGAACAGTTTACAAATTAGACTGTCTACGTATTTGAACAGGATTTTTCCTCCCCTAAAAATATTTTCTGTTTAGAATGAGTTTTGAAGAAAAAAGTTATTAGACTTTTTTCTATTAGAAAAACTATTTGACTCTGCCATATCATTTCTGTATCACCTCAGGGAAAGCCACTACCCCCATTCCAATGCTGCTGTCCGCTGGGAAAACAGGGCAGAAACTTCCAAAAAAAAAAAAGTCTGTAGAGGCAAGTCTCACAGTTCTAAGGAAATCAACGAATACAAGAATCTCACTTTTTTCCTCCTTTCTATTTGCATGACACAAGCACTGTCCATCATATTCTGTACAGAAGCTTAATTCATACTTGTTGAAGGACAAGGAAATTAGGAAGACATTTTAAAGGTGGGATACCACAAGCAGAACTCCCATACTACTATCACAAGATATTGACCTAAGAAGCCGCTGTAGCTTAACCAAATGATATCTAACATAAATACTATTTTCAAAATACCCCAACAATCTGCCACATTACTTTTGCTTCTAAACTTTTTTTCATTGCCCATTCCCATCATTCAGCAGTTATTTATTTATTTATTCACTCACTCACTCACTCACTCATTAAATTTATATAGCCACCCTCTTCATGTATGTGAGTCTGGGTGGCTCATGGAATTAAAATAACAAAAAACAAAACATAGAAATAAACAAAAACAACAATAACAAAAACCATTAAAAACAAATTAAAACAGTCAAAAACAATTAACCATTAACTACAGAGCATAAAATGCAGGAGAGTGCCAACCAACAGCTTATGAGCAATTATGTCAAAGCCTAGGAAATAACTCCATTATTTAAATAATTGTTACTATATTTAATAAATATATTAACCTTCCTTAATGTCTGGTATTCAAAATAATGAATTCGCATATCTGTATGTTCAAATGGGCATTGTGAAAAGAAGCATCCATCTTCTCTGCAATTCCCCCCCCCAATACTTTCCATAAATTCTGTAACATTAATTCTGATTAAGTGATCACTTAAAGTTTTAGGCAACATAAAAAGATAATATCCATTTGGCTTGTGCAGTACTTTGAATTTCAAGGCAAAAAGGTACATTTGTGGGGGCATAAATGTTTCATCTGTCTGCGCCTCCTTAAACCAGGCATGTCTCATCTCAGGATTATGCAGTAAGTATGGAGGGAAAAGCATGACTCCTGCAAGAAAACAGGCCGGTGCTACATACCCAGATTTCTATGTCTGTTTGCCTTCAGTTCCAAAGTGCTCAACAGCCCTAACAAATATTACCTTTTGAAAATATATAATGGGAAACACACACACACACACAAAATTGCTCCTACCTTGGATAATTGGTACAATACTGTGTATATATGTGGAAATCTTCACTCTGTACATAAAGATCAAATGGAAAGCTTATTTAGCACCTTGAAAACAACATCCATTTGCCAGAAGCTCCCCAGAAAAGTGGAAGACCATGACTAACTAGACTTAACTTGAACTGGCCCGAAATCAATCAGCAACCAGCACAAAGGGCAGCACATTGACATACTAAAATGATACTGGCCAGCCCCAGAGACTTAGCTATCTTTTCCAAGCCAATTCAATCCATTCTGTCCCAGAATGAGCAAATTAAGGCTTCTACCCATATATGTATCCCCAAGAGTTAAAAAGGTAGACGAGAGATGACTTTTAGCACAAAATAAACAACCTACCAACCCCTACCAGATTTTTTCTCCACATGGGTCATATATTTTAGAGTACAGCATCTTTACTCTTTAGTAAAGTACTCTTTACATCTTTGCAATTTGAGGAAAACCCTTGGGAAAGGAAAACCACATACAATTTTGCATAACTATAAAGTTATAAACTATAAACTATAAAGTTTATAGATGATCAAAAGCATTTTTCCTGTACAGATTCTCTTAAACTAATTCCTGAAAAATCTCAGGTTAATTAAGACTAGCACATTTAAGTATCTTCCCTTTAGAACAGCCATTTTATGCTGCCCCATGGCCAATGCACATTGACACAGCGATTGTAACGTGCATGGATGACAACTAAGCCAGAAATTGCACTTATGATTGCAACTGAAAAAAGTGCTCCCACCAAGTGCTGTTGGCCTTACCCATGTTTGTGCGTTGCGGTAGATGAATTTTGATGGCCAAAACAACTTTAAATTGTGTGAACTGGTCCAAATGGATGCGGGGGGGAGGGGGGGCAGGGGCCAAACAGAAAAGAAGATAAAGGTTTATGGGCATTTCTCAATGTGCAACAACATGAGTAAGTATAGCATACCTATCTTCTTTTGCAGAGTGTTTCAGAATTAATAAAACACTCCATTCAGCTTAAAAGCTGTCTTAATCAGTGACAACCCACCCAATGATTTAAAAAATTTCCATTCAGCCACTGCTGATATTTTATCTTTGGGTTTAAACTTCAAATTCATGTATCTGCCTTCATTGGCATGAGACATAATAAGCTTACATCACAGCCTATTAAACATAGATGCTTTGAACTAACAACTACTGCAGAAATCTATTCCCTCCAATGAAGTAGTAATCATGTCAACCACAATTTGCAGCAGAGACATTACACTCTGTTATTAGCTGGTAGAATCATTCCAGTTATTGCATGTATTAAGTTGGGGATTCTTCAGTGTCATCCAAAATGAAAAGTTCAGTACTGAACTTACGCCCAATCTGTACATAAGCAAGCACTTACAAGCAAAAGGCAGAAAATAACCATCTAGTTCACTATATAACTATGCTGAACATTCATAATCACTTCATCAGACGATGAATGGAAAGGGATGAAATTTAAAAAATGATCTCAACTAGTCTGATATAAATCAATAAAAATACATCAATAATGGCTGACACTCAACATTATACAGGCAGATTTATACTCCTATAACACATCCTTTTCACCCCTAACCTGCTAATTACATCCTTGAATCTGCACCAGAAAGAGCAGATTTGGAAATCATACAAAAGGAGGGAAGATGAATCTGTTCCATTGACTTTAAAATGCTGTTTTTAGGATTTTAAGCTATTAATTCCTTTATAAAATGTTTAGCCTGCTAACTGCTTATTTTCAATTGCTGCAATGATTCCATTACTAATGCTTGGCATTTCTGTATGAGCCATTGTTAAAAATTAAAAAATGGAGAGTGACTCTGTCCAGATTTATCCATAAACAAGAACTTTTGTCCTTGCTGCCCAACATTTAATGACTTCTGGCATTGGCTGTATGAGGCCTTTGTTCACTATGCTGTCAGTATTCCTTTTCTATGTTATCATCAATATTGGGTATAACGTAATACCTAATGATGCCAGGATCTGTACCGTTGTCAAGAGTGGCCCTATTAGAATAAAGCAGTTACTCTAGGCAGCCAGTGTTAATAGGAGGTAGCAATAAAGTGTTGGAGGACATATCAGTAGACCATGTGGCCAGCCTTCTGGTATCCACACCAGTGTTAAGGTTCAACTATCAATCCAATTAGAGTTCACTCACAAAATGGGAGAAAAGACCAATTTGTTCTTTGCCTCAAAGTAAAATATTTTTGTGCTGTTCCTTTTTATCACATCTTCACTGTGTAACTGCACTGATACAAGCCAACAGCCTAGCAATTGTGCTTTGTTGCACAAACTTAACATAATAAGTTGTATTACGACTACTACCACCACTACAATGTAGTGTTGTTACTACATTGATAGCCCTTGTGTTGCAGATTATAAAGAGAAGGAGGCTGTAAGTCAGGACAAAAGAATACAGAGTTCAGATTACTGAACAAAGTTGTCTACATTCAAATTAAGAGATATTTATGGTTTCATTAAAACCTGCAGTTCTAGTTTTACTTTCATATATTCCTGAATACCTAAAAGGGCTTCTTTGATGTTCAGGGTGAACTGAGTAATATGGACAGTGGCCAACAGACAACCATAAATCTGCAGCCCTGAACTCATGCAAGCCTTAACAAAATGCAACACTTAAAACAAGAAAGCTACCAAGTACAAATCCACATACATTTCTTTTCAGATATAAATATGTCTTGCCGTATGAAACTACTGTGTGAAGCTTAACAGGATGAATAAAATCTCCCTTTGTCAAGAGAAGAGAGAGGAGAGGATTCAGGACAGATGACTAGCCAAACTTCCTACACTTGCCTGCCTTCAACTTTCCCCATCTGGCGACCAGCTGAAAGGACAAAGCTGCCCTCTTATTTCTACACATATCAAAGACCATGAACCAATTTTGAGTAAGAGTCAAAGATTCCCCATCCCACATTCCAGGACTGTTGCTTCTATAAAGCCCAGGACCATTGATCAAATGCCTCAGTCAGCCTTACCAGAATGGGAGTGAAAGAAGGAAGGAAAAACCAATTACAGAGTCAAAAACAGAGAAACCAAAGTCAAAAGGAACTGTATCCAAACTGTTAGAAAACCAATGCAGTATTTCTGAAATACAATAGCACATTTAGCATTTGACACTTAAAGCAGAAATCTTTAAGTGTCAATTTCACTTAAAGAAATCTTAAAGATGAACTAAGAATTCATCCCTCTAATTCTTCAAAATTTAGTAACATTCATTTTTATATTTGCAAAATACTAGGGAGAGATCTGGTATGGTAAAGAAAAGAAAGGAAACAGCAAACTTGGGGTGAATAGGAAATAGTTTGATTTCAAGTTGATGTCCTCCTCATCCCATTTTTAATATTTTATATAATGTCTATGTGTGCAGTAATATTAGTCCATAATATTTTTTTTTTAAGAATAAAAAATGGAATTGCCGAACAAAATTAGTTAGCAAGCTTTGCAGGGTACTTCTGACTGAGATGATGTACAGTAATCTATCTTATATCAGTCTTCAAAGAAAAAAATAACTAGTGAGAGAAAATATTGAAAACAGTCAAATATCTAAAAGAAAGAAAAAGATGCTCCTTTAGCAAAAGGAGACGAGTCAGTTATTTCTATCAAATATACACATATTTTCAAATAGCTTAAATGAAATAATTTAAAAAACAGTTGTGTTCTATCTCAACTCTCATCCATTCCAATAGGTTTGTGAGAGCCAATTCATATAAGACTATGGCCAAAGGAAAATAAGGAATATTTTCATATTTCTTCATCTATTCAGGAACATTTAGGTGGAAGGGTAACATAAGCTAAGTCCATACAGTAATTTGTAAAAATGATTTGAATCCCATGACTTATTAGTTATAGGCATTTGGGAATTGAGGGAATGATCTTCAATTTGTATATTCCAAGAATGCAAAGCACTGAAGCTCTTATTAATACCAAAAGACAACATTATCACTTACCTTAGAAACAAAACATTCTGCTATAGCTACAGGATCATTTTCACAGTTTTCCAAATCTTGCAGAAGTTCACTAGTTCACATAAATAAAAAGGGCAATACTGCAATTATTATCGTAATTGAGAACTATATGCCAGCACATACTGCCTACAATTAAAACTGGCATTGTACTTTGAGTCTATGTTAAAATAAAGCAGCACCATTCATACTGCTTCCTACTATAGCGCTAAGAAGTAATTAGGGGCTTCTTTCTAAGATACCAGGTTGTTTAAATAATTCTACTAATAATATGAATAAATGTCTGTTTGGTTTCTTTGCACCATTGTTTCCCTATTTCACCTACCGTCTTTCCTTGGGGTAAAAAAAACGACTGGCTCTGTTCCATAATGACTGTAAGAAACTGGGGATACAGCATGTGCACCATTGCAATACTGCCTGTTCCCAAAACACCAACATGCAGTTTTCTGCATCTCTGTTGCTCCCTTTTAGCATTTAAGGATTCTTAGCTGCCTCATACAAGGAAGGGGAAAGAGAAATAGTACATGCCTTCATGCAGCACTCACAAAACTGCTTTGTAACAAATAGGCTGCATGTGTGTCTCTTCTCCTACTACCTATGAATGATTTTCAAGTGGATTCACATGTGTTAAGCCTCTGTTTAAACACAATTTGTTAAGTACACAACAACAGGCTGCATTTGAATAAACAAGCTAAGCCATAAACAAACAGCTGCAATGGAGTTTATGTATCATGCTAAGGCAAAACCAAACCAACCACATTATGGGTTAGTTCAGTATATGAACCCACTTCTCTCTCATCCCCATAAAGCTACCTTCCGCTCAGTGATATGCAGAAGTCCTTCAAACCAGGCAAAAGACAATAACAGGCCAAACTGCGTTTCTTTTAAACAACATTTCATGTGTTGGATTTTGCTACACTGCACACATTTCATCTCACAGGCACCAGAACACTTTTTGTTGTGTGCGCTGCAATATGTTCACATTGCTCTTCCCTTTGGAAATATTTGTTTTTTTAACTTTTGAAAGTGAAGAATGAACACTGAAATTATAAACTTGCAGCCAGTTTTGAGGCTCTAAAGGTAGTTAGGATGCCACAGACTCATAGACAGTTTCAGTATCACCACTATATCAGTAAGTAAACTCCCAGTTAGAATGTGATCTGACGTACGCTGACTTGGAAGCTCAGAGATAATGTGGCTCACTATTCATTAAGCATGTACAGGCTTGCTTCTTCCAAGCTCAGCTGCTCATGCTATGTATCCCTGAACATTTTTCCTCCAGCATCTGGATTGCTGTTTTGCTAATGTGGCATTTGTTTGCATAGGTATGTGTGCTTACATGTGGATATAAGTTCTATTAATAAATGTAGTTTCAGCTGGCAACTGGAAACAGAAACAATGGGAAAACACTTTTTAATTTACTGTCCTCCTCCCAATTATTTTTCAACATATGAAGATACAGGTAAGAAAAGCCACTCAGAAGTGATTCCGAGCAGCTAAATAATTAGACAAAACTCAACCATTTAGTTTGATTCCTGTAATATGATTGTAAGCATATTTAATACAAAATGCACTGAAGTTTCAGAAAGCTAACTCCCAATATGATAGATTGTTATGGCAGGCTGACTATGAAAGGTATATGAATGACAGGTAGGAAATGGACAAAATAGCTCTCCTGCACACTGCTACACAGCTGCTTTTGTGATGTTAGCAAGATGCTATTTTAGAGGCCGAGATAGAGAAAGATTGCTTAAGAGAATGCCAGTATCACACATTTTCAGACACAACTGCTGCATGGCAGAGTGGGTTTTTATTGTGGTTTGGGTTTGGGGGCTGAGACTTGCAAGACCGGGAAAAAGGAAAATGTTCAAACCTAGCAAAAAACTGGGCAAAAAGCAACTGCGTCTTTACGGAATCCAGGAAGAAAAAAATTATGATAACTCTGACTAGGTCCTGTCTGGCAATGATTTATTAGATATGAATTAGATCATTATTAAGAATTTTAAATATTTTTTTCACTTCTTTAGTTTGGTTACATCTTCTGCTTGATTGCTAATTTGGCACAACGCTGAAGGACTTTGCTCCATACCAGGATGGGTGGCATCTTCTTGAAAATGAGAATGGATTACAAGGAAGATTGGCCAACAAGCCTGAATTCCAAGTAACTTCAAAAAGGATTCTTACACTACTTACACTATCTCTTCCTATGCAAAGGAAGTTTTTGTTGATGATATCTTAGCTGGTGTTTCATAACAGACTCACAAGGGTTCTCATTAGATTGAGTCCCATCAGCTAATTTTACTTTTAACACTCCTTTAATTAAGACATGGCCTGTTTAATCACCATGCTTGGTGGTCAGTTCTCCAAGGTCTTTACACTCATCTAGTTATGACACAGACACATAGTATGATGTAACTATGATATAACTAAGTATGAAGAAGCATTGCTAATATTAGTTCTTATGACACATAATGATTCATGACCCAAGACAGCCACATTCATTGTGGCATAATAAATGAAAAAAAAAATCTTCCTTTTTCCAGGCAGAATATTAGCTATACAATGGAAAATAGCAGCTAATTTTGCAGATTTGATTTCACATAAGCTACCTCTCCCCCAAAAGTGGAAATAGGAAATGAGGCAATATCTAAAATGAGATTTCCTTGGCTGGCGATCCACTCATCCCCAACCCCTCAGTTCCCAGAGGTTTCCATTGAAAAGCGTTCCTGGCCAACAAGTTTGAGCTAAGATTCATTATTATTATGACAAGTGCTCCCTAAAATAATTCAAGTGGTAAATGAATATTTAATTTTAAATTAAATATTTTGGTGCTAAGTTTAAAAAACCTTTACAAATGGGAGGAGGATGAGAAGCAGACACAATGCAACTATAACTGCTGCCGTATTTGCTTTAAAAGGTGAAATTTATTTCTTTATTTAACCTTTTTTGTGATATCATTGAAGATGTTTTTCCTGAGGTGGCCTACAAATTAAAATAAAATAAAATTACAGAAATTTTAAAAATTCTGGCCATAGATTCAGAAGGGCC